CTATTTGTGAGTCCCGTTTCGACAGCAAGCAAGGTATGGACAGGAAGAAAGGAAGCAATAGGATAGCATTGGTCTCGCCGTAGCGAAAGCAAATGACGGCGAGAAAGCAAGCATGGTTCGTCTGGCAAGAAGGCCAGGAAAGCAAAGAAAGGACGCTGATGGCATGGGACTCAGTAAGGCTCATCGCTCACCTGACGATGCTGGGGGCGGGAGTGGACGTGTTTCCGCCCTGGCCCTAACCGAGCGTTGCGTCCCCCTTTCGCGACCCACCGAGCGTGTCCTACGCCCTCGGAGACTCATGCGCTGGTCGGTCGTGCGCGATTGTGAGCGCGTCGAGACGGAGGGTAGGCGGGGTTCTTGATAGTCCGCTATGCCTTGCCAGTCTGAGCCTTCGTCCCCGGTTCCTTGGGTGCGACCCTGTTGGAATTCGTTCTTCTCTCTCTCCGTGTAAAGGGCGGAATAGGTCGGGTGTTCAATGAGCTCGTCCCTCCGCTCGAACAGGGCTTGCTTCGTCCTTGCCTTGAGCTCGTGTACGTTCCCTCCGGGCTCGACGCCTAATGCTTCTGCGAGCTCTACTAAGGCTGCCCGGTTGAGCCGGTAGTGCGGTTTGTCGAAAGCGTTGTCGCGCAGGGCCCAGGGCGGCATGTTTCCGCTTGCAAGTGTTTAGTGTGCTGATGCTGCCTAGTGGGCCACCTCTACTGACGAGGGAGTCCGGAGGGATGAAGAGCGAGACGCGAGCGGAGTTTCAATTGTCTCCCTCGAGCCCAAGACGGCGCACCGAGCTTCGCTCGGTGCTCGCTTCTGCTGCAGTGCTTTGCGCGTTCATGTTCATCTCATCTCAACACAACAAATCATAAATCGGCCAGCATCCACCGCCTCCGTTGAATCTGTACTCGAGGGCCCGTGCATCAAGGCTCGACGCTCAGCAGTGACATCACCAAAGCGATGCTGAGGTGCCGGCGGACGTCCGACGCCCCCAGTCCTCATCTCCAATGTGTGCCCCTGCGCGCACGATCAGGCGAAGATCACACATCAAGCAAGCAGTAGTCCTATACGGAAACGCTGCATCGCGATCAAGGAGTGTTTGTATTGTGGCACCGCGGTGAACAGCGTCTGGTCGGTTACTCCGGACGCCCGATAGGGTTGAATCACCAGGAAAATCAGATTTGGCTCACCTTGCGGTCTCGCGGGCGAAAACTCTGCGAATGTGTTTGGAAAACCGACAATGTATTAGAGTGTGATGGGTCACCCAACGTAGTCCCATGATCACATTCTCTTGTTGGCCGGCAGCGTGGTGTGGAGGGCGTACGAAATTTCTGTTGAGTTCGACGTTTCAGGTTAGTAATGACTCTGATCTGAAGTTCCGGAGAGTTCTCAGTTCCTTCAAGGCGGACAAGACGCAAGTTTGATTAGTGCGTCGGCTTCATGAAACATGGGACATTGACGCGCCAGTGTCTCTGCAGAGCTACATCACACCTATGATCTGATTATCGAGCTATTTCTACGAGCGCGATTCTGTGATCCCCGCGCCTCGCATCGGCAAAGCATATATAAAGGAACAGTCCAGTCCGTCGACACAGCGAGCAAAGAGACCAACATGCAAGACGAAGTCGAAGCGGATACGACAACCGGTATGTTCAGTCACTTTTCTCTGCCGTGGTGCTCGACTGGCGTTCATAATGACTCATTCCCTTGACCCTTCGCAGAACCTATCACAGTGGGCCCAATCGTTCATGACCAAGATGGTCGCAACATTGACGACGGACAAAAGATCTGCGAATGCGCAAGTAAATCCGATTTGCTCTGCTGCTTTAAATATTATCCAACCACACCTTGCAGCAGATACGTCATCTGAGGCGAACGAACGCTACAACATAGCATTCCAACTCCATCAAAAATTCTGCCAGAACAGCGATCTCGACGCCGCAAAGCAGTGCATCCATCAGGAAATGCCCCCTCTGGCAAATTGTTACATATAGGAATACATAGTTCATAATACGACTATATTCTATTAAAATTTCACAAAAAGGCCAAAAAAACACATAAAACTGTTAAATCATGCCAGATGACTGACCATTTAGAGAGTACTGTCTTGTAGGTACAAGGGTGCTTGAAACCATCAACATAGAAGGTTTTTGCAGTGTCAATCATATTAGCACTGGTCCATGTACAAGGAGCTTAGAGACCATATCTAGGTGTAAGTATTGGAGTTGGGGTTTGGTACTTTACTGCTGACACCTCATCCTTGCATGGCTCCCTCTGTGATATCAGCTCATCCCATTTACCCCTAGCCTATATACACATCCTGCATGTACATGTGAAAAGCCAGATATCTCTGTAGCCAACAACATAGTTATGTACCCTGTAGATCACTGAAGTGATGGCTAGAAAACACTGTTATAATAGTTTAGTCTCAGGTGGTTGATTTCTCTAATGCCCTATTCATTTACCATTGACAGCCTCATGAACTGAAATGTATCTCTATGTACTTTGGGATTGCTATGACATAGAGATACAGTAGCCAACACGGACTTAGGAGATTCAACACGAATGAGCCCGTCACGTGACCTGACCGTGACCATCCTGCCCGGCTTGTCGTCTCAGCCCACCGCGCTGGCAAGTGCGCACGTCGTGCAAGTTCCCGCCGTCGCATCTCGCCCCGACACTTGCAGTGCCCGCTCCGCCGTCCTCAGCTTCCACCCGCTGCCCCT